TCTGGAAGCCCGTGGAGATTATCGGCTCCCCTGCAACTGTTATAATTACAACCAGCTATTGAAGCCAGTGAGAATTTTGCCTGAATAAAGATAGTAAGATCAGGTTTATTATGCCGTTGGTAAGTAATGGCTTCATTTCATGTACTAGCCAACCCTAAATGAAGCTATCTACATAAAGCCTCAATATATAGCAGTAAAAGCTGTTCCATCAACCAGGGACCTTTATTCCTCAGGGTGTTTCTGTGTCAGAGTGCTTTGTCATCACCTCATTTGCTGTGGGTGTTATCCTTTTTAAGAGTTGTCTTACTTTAGTCATCAGCATTTCCCGAAAGTGATCACCCATGAGGAAATAAAAGACAGGATTAATGACACTATTTAAAAAGGCAATAGGCCGTGTGATAATATAAATGGCGTGGATGATGTTCTTTGTGCACTGGGTTTGATTCCAGGATTTCATTTGAGAGGCAATCCTCACATTGCGCATTATGTGGTATGGAGTAAAGAGGAGTAAAAAGATAACCAGTGCTATGATGACTAGAGAAAGAGGTTTCTCAAGTGGCTGAGCAGCTGTGAACTGCTCACTACGGTTCTTAAGAAAGCGAACCATCTTCAGGTAAAAAAAGCACATAACACACAGAGGGATTACAAACCCCAAAAACGTCAGGCACATACTATAGATCAAGTTCCTTTCTGCTTCTCCAGAACTTGCATAATCTCTACATTGGTTATCACTGACATCAGTTTTTATGAAGGTGAATATTGGCACCAGTTCAAGTGTAACCAGAATCCATACGGCAACAGATAAAACAACAGCTATCTTCTTTTTCTGTAGAAAATGATCTCTGAAGGGATATTGAATGAGCATATAACGATCAATGCTGATAAAGGTGAGAAAAAGGATGCTTGTGTATAGGTTTACATGCAGGAGGAACCTGTTGCTTCGGCACAAAACATCCCCATATGTCCACTCTCCTTTGCAGTAGCTTGTCACCAACATTGGAAGTGTACATAGAAATGCAAAGTCTGATAATGATAAGTTAAACAGGTAAATATTGCCACTTTTCCAAACTTTCAGGCAGAAGATGTAGCCAAAGACGACAATGCTATTTCCAATGATGCCAAAAATGAACTCAATAGTATACATGGTAGAAAGGTAATACTTTGACAGGGTGTTATTCATCTCCAGGCAATCATTTGCCTTATACCCATCCTGGAAAGTTAAAAACATAAAATCAATAAGAATAAAAATGACAATTACAGTGCTATTCTATTTTTTGATATCTCAACTGTGATAAATGTGGTTATTGCAACTTAATTTTCTTTTTCACTATCTTTTCACTTCCATCTCTGCAAAAAAAAATGTCTTATAAACACAACCTTACTGTTTCAAGGTCTTGACATCAAAGAGATGTAAAAAACATAATGATCAAAAATACAGATGAAATTGTGAGAATACTTCCTTAGTAAGAAATGGAGCAAGGACTTTGGGATTGTGTATGAGATTTATTTTCCTGAGGGTCTCCCATAAGACAGAGCACAAAGCTGTGTGTCCATTATACTAACTGTCTAAACTAAAATAATTATGTTATACTTACACAGCACTGGGCAATAGAGAATGTGATAGGAGGAGGGAGAAAAAGCTGTCATAATAGCATTTTGGGGGGAAATCACCTCTTTCTGTGTCAGTGGGGCTTTACTCCTACATCTTACTCACTGCTTACTGTGGCAGAAATCCCATCATTTCCAGAGGGACCTTTGCCCAAGTAAGGAATGAAATTGTAGTATAGGATTGAGCCATTGGTAATGACTGTATTGGGAAGAAGTTTCAATTAGTCATGTTAGTTAGAAAAAGGAAACAATCTTGTTTATCAACCCATAAGAATGTGTACTGTTTATATGGTCATTGGAATAAGCTAATGTTCATCTTGTTTATCAGAATTACATAGACACAGCCTTATAAGAGTGATAATAGCATGCATTGCAGTTGACATTTGTGTCTCAGAACTTCTAAGGCAATTTTGAAGAAAAGGAGATTTCATTTCTTGCAATTTCATAGATCATAATATTAGTTTTCTATTTTTCACAATACAAGCCAATGCTAAACATATTAAATCCAAAGTTCACAATTGTTGGCAAAGTTAGGGTCAGATCTAAATCCCACTGAAGTCAATAAAAAGACATTAGCTAAATTCAAGTTTGGATAAAATTATCAGTTAAATATCAGTGGTAAAGTCTAAACTTTCATCAATTCACGATTTTTAGTGAACATTTTACAAGTAAATCTCAGCTCTATTCAGCTCTCTGTATGGTGTATTATTATAATTATAATTATTTATTTGTAAGATAGAATGCCCAGGGTCCTATTCTACTGAGTGCTGTGAAGTTGAGATGCAGTTACTGCCCCAAGGAACTTTCAGCATAGTATATTTTTCTGTATTTTAGCTAACAGGTAATGATTTGATTGCTGCAAGCTGAGAAAAGTGCTATATTAAAGGAATATACGCACACAATTTAGCTTATTTGCAAAGTTGTAAAAATACATTGTCCAGCACCCTTGTCTAGTGCAGGACTATCTATGAATAATTATGTTTACAATTTTAAGTTATTTTATTATATAAATTATCAAATTAGCTGGGATAATTGAGAACAACTTTCACAATTTATTATGCCTTCTATTTGGCTATTTAAACCAACCATTTATTATCTTGCTATTGGATTTCAGAATAAAATACATCATGACAGGCTAACAAGAACTTTTGGAAGCCACTTGTTAAAATTCCAGAGATGACTGGGATACTTTGTCTCTGAAGTAGTTCAGGCACATCTCCCTTGAAATGTGTAAATTAGCCCTTGTCCTAAAAAATATTGCTTTGCATTTAAATTTCACCTAGTATCAACTGGGGCGGGGAGGGGGGAATAATTCCAGTGAAAGGCTGTTTCCATTTTCCTCAAATAACCAAGCTGATCTTTGTGCTATATCTTCACTGTATTCAGTGTGTTTTTCAGGAACAAATATAAACATCTCTACCAGAGTGGACTTAGTAGAATTTTGTTTACCGAGTTTTGCCTTCATAGGTTACAGTGATGTGAAATTCTGTTTAAATAGGGGAAGCACATTAATAGCGCACGCACACACACACCCTGGTTTGTGGTGCTTATTAGTGGCTAATGAGGTATTTTTTGTAGGAGCCCATTATTAAAATATTGGCAGCACAATCACTGACAACGTATAGTGAGAAAAAAAAATGTAAGAAAAACAGAAATGAGATTACAACTTATGTTCAATGAAGTTTCGATTAACATTTCCTAAGAATAGGAATCACATTTTCTCAAAATATATTGACATTCCTGTTTTAAATGTTTTGTATATTTATTGTTTACGTTGTCTAAAATATATAAAAATCTGTCACTAATCTATAGGGGCAGCTGATTATTGTAGCAAGAAAACTACTTTTAAGATTATGAGATAAAATAGTTATATGAATCAAAGATGAATATACAACATATCATGTACTAATAGATACCTGTAAAAATGTTAGTTGACATCATCACAAGATACTGACTTTAATCACAGAAACCCCATATACCTGCTTTTAGCTAAGCCCTTGCAATTCAAATCATTGTGACCAAATTTAAACCTTTTAAAAAAATAAAAGTTTGAACAATGGGATTGCTGCACACCACATATGCTTTCAATGGAAAAAAGTGGTAAAATATTGAAAGCTCCATTGTTTCATGTACCTCCTGAAAACAGACTTATTGATCCCCTTCAGAGCAATATTCAGGGAAAAGGTAACTCAAAGGCAGAGTGAGGCACACCATTTAGTTGCTCCTATATGGCTAATCACATCTTTGAATGTTCACAAAGGGATAGTAATTCTAACATTTTGTCATAAGCCTGAAAGAGTAAATCACTAACAGTTTAAAAAGGCATGAAAGTCTAGCTCACTAAAGATTGTAACTTACCATTTTGTGGTAGACACTTGGTAGACACTCCTTTAACCATGACCCGATGAAAGTGTCTGGCTTATTAGAGTGCAACTTGAACACGTTGTCTCAGCTTATTTTGCATATCATGCAAAGGTGGTTAATTATTCAAGAGAATGGGGCACATTGTCTGAGCTTGATTTGCAGGAAGCCTCACTGAAGTGGGAAATATTGCGAAACTTACTCTGAGTCAACTAGAAAAATAAACTTGATCTTAGCCAAAAGGTAATTATTTTTTACACAGACCTAGACCAACTTGACTATATGTGCTGCAGAAAGTAGCCAAAAATCCTGCATTGTGGTTATTTATCATATTCACTTTTATATGGCTAGAGAATGCTGAAAACATCATTATAACAGATTTTGAATTTAGCAAACAGATGCTTAAAACTATTATTTCCTAATAATAAAGAAATATTCATCACAAGAGGATATGTATAGCCTTGTGGTTGAATTACAGGACTAGAAGTAAGGAAATCTGGGTTCTACTGCCATTTATCCTATTCACTGACCTTGGGCAAATCAACCAACTCTGGTACCTCAGTTTCCCCATCAAAATAAGCAGAATGAGGCTTCCCTACTTCCTCAAGTGTTATGAGAATTAATTCACAAATGTTCATAATGTGCTTTGAGGTCCTCAGATGGAAGGAAAATTTAAGTCATTGTTTGTTTTATTGCCAAATTAATTTTAGTTTTCTAAGGACAAAGGAAACATTCAGCATGTTGATGGTTAAAATAAAATATAATGAACAGACTAATATAATCATATCATTAATGACCAACTAGACCCCCCTATTAACTGTTTGTCTTAGCTTTTACAATTTACAAGAGCAGAAAATATTTTTATAATTCCAAAGCTTTTTATTTTGCACTCCAGTGCTACAGAACATAACTGGATGTATTTCCTGAATAAGCACAGATAGTCTGCTTCTGTAGACTCTCATAGCACCACTGAATCTATTAAGCCTGAGCTAATTCACACCAGTGAATAATTTACCCCTAAGTTTCAAAATATTCAGCTCATTTTTTCACTCTAAGATAATCTGGACCTGCTGATTTACATGACTAAATATTTTGCATGAGGTCTTCAGCTATGTGTCTTCAAGCTTCATTTTCATATGCCTAAGGAATTGTTGCACTCTGTTAATTTTATTTTCACACAAATTCAGTTTGCAAAACAAAAGTTTGGATTTTTTGCATGTGCAAAAATGTGGTCATGATAAACAGCTTGCAGCAAAAGATGTAAACACACAATAAAAATCTCTGGCAGAGTGCACACAGCTACAAGTCAGAAAATGGGCAGAACCACCTCCTTCTCTAGCCATTGTGTGTTAGGTGAGGCCAGTGCCTAAATCAGTTCCCACAAGAGGCAACTGAGGCTGTGTCTACACTTCCAATTGATCCACAAAACTTTTGTCATTTATGGGGGCTTAAATGACCCCTCTCTGAGGGTATGGCTACACTTGCACACTAGTTCAAACTAGGGATGCAAACATAGGAATTCGAAATAGTCAATGAATCCGGGATTTAAATATCCCATGCTTCATTAGCATAATCGCAGCCACACGCTATTCCGAACACCCAGCTGATTCGAAAGTGAAAGTGCGCTCTGGGCCGCGTTAGTTTGAATCAAACCCCTTGGTTCGAACTAACATTACTCCTCCACAAACAATGAGGAGTAATGTTAGTTCGAACCAAGGGCTTTGATTCAAACTAATGTGGCCCGGAGCGCACTTTCACTTTCGAATCAGCTGGAGTTTGAAATAGCACGTGGCCAAGATTATGCTAATGAAGTGTGGGATATTTAAATCCCAGCTTCATTGACTATTTTGAATGCCTACATTTGCATCTCTAGTTCGAATTAGGGTGCAAATGTAGATATACATATTTTGAGAATATTATTACTTTTCTAACACGTCTCAACTGTTAATAGCGCACTTTCACTTTCGAATCAGCTGGAGTTTGAAATAGCACGTGGCCAAGATTATGCTAATGAAGTGTGGGATATTTAAATCCCAGCTTCATTGACTATTTTGAATGCCTACATTTGCATCTCTAGTTCGAATTAGGGTGCAAATGTAGATATACCCTGAGGCTACATCTAGACTGCAAGCCTCCTTCGAAAGAGGCTTTTTCAAAAGTATCTTTCGAAAAAGCCTCTTTCGAATAAGCGTGTCTAGACTACAATACGCAGATTGGAAAATCGATCCGCTTTTTCGAAAAAGAGCGACCTGACTGCTGGACGCTCTTTCGAAAGGAAAAGCCACCCGGAACCGCTTCTGCCAGGGCATGGGGGCAGCATTTCCTTCCAAGTGCTGCTGCCTGCCCTTTGCAGAGACACGTGGTTAAAGGGACGCCCCTGAACACCCGTTGCTCTGCTCCTGCAGCTGCCTTTGCTGTCCCTCTGGGTATGTCTACACTACCCCCCTAGTTCGAACTAGGGGGGGTAATGTAGTCATATGGAGTTGCAAATGAAGCCCGGGATTTGAATTTCCCGGGCTTCATTTGCATAAAGCCGGCCGGCGCCATTTTTAAATGCCAGCTAGTTTGGCTCCCGTGCCACGCTGCTACATGCGGCACGG